GTGTCAGCTAACTACAGACCCAGCACAAACATGAACAGGGCCTGGGTTTTCTTCCTGGCTGATCTTCCTAAGCTCAGCTGCAGTGATGAGCAGAAGTGCATCCTCTCGATGACCTTAAATACTGCGAGGCTCAGTGCCCCTTTAAAACCTGCTCAGTTGAGAATACGATTCCCCAGCCACGGGGAAGATAAATAGATCATCCCAGGTATTAGCCAGTTGGAAAAATTCCGTCAAATGAGTGAGATGTCAGCTGGGATGAAATGAAAGGATAAGCCTCTGTTGGAGAATGTGACAAAAGGCAAGATGCTTCCAGGGACAGATCTGCTAAAGATGGCTAGGAGGTATTTGTTGGGTGTGAAGGTTTTCCAAACGGTAGCAATAGAATCGAGATGAATGGGAGAAAAGTAAATGAAAGGCAGTGGAAAAATAATGCATGGTATTTCTGAGAAACGCTTCTATCCTCCTCAAAAGTAGCCTCGTTTGTCCAACCCCCAAGCCTCAAGAAGATTTTCATCGTCGAGAAGTTTCTCAGAGCCCCCTCTCTCTTACCTAGCTGCCACAAGAACTCCCTGTCACTTGCAATCTGCTGATTAGGGTTAATGTATTGTGTCCTGATATGGCAGATTAAAAATGAAATCAATAAATGCCTAAAACAAATGGGCTTTTGAGATGTCCCATTCAATCTGGATCTTTAAGTGTAAGGTGAGAGGTGGGAGAAGGAAAGCAGGAGGAGAGTGGGGAAAGGACCACTTTAGACATCAGTTTCCATCCAAAACACTGTGCGGAGGATGTGATTTCAAGGTATCTGCCCTTCCTTTTTCGGGGATCTGCCTTAAATAGTAAGAATAGCCAGAACAGTTCATGGTGCTGAGCCCCTCGTGGGGGTGTGTGTTTATTTTTTCTATTTCTCTCTTAAAAATCATACTCTTTGGGTAAGTGAAGGGGTCCATAGCATGTGGTATTTAAATCTTCAGTATGTGAACTTGTCTTTCTGAAGTATGTTTAAACAAAATGAGCGGTCCAGGGTCCCGACTCCACCCTGATTCTATTCTCTTGAATCTCATCCCACTTGCTAGTAAATTGAAAGGTAAACTTCCCCCTGAGCTGTCTGCCCCCTCCCCGCCCTGCTGGTTGAGTTTGCTGAGACCTCACTGGTTAAGCCAGCCATTGCTCTCATGAGGTTGAAAAGACCGCTCAGGTCATCGCTATACTCCATTGCAGTATTCAGAATTGTCCCTGCTGAATATGTTTCCCATGTAAATAACCTGTGCTATTAAGGTGCAAATTGCAACTTTTAAGTAATGATTGCTAATAGTCTAATGTTTACTGCCACACAAGGACATTCATGAAAACAAAATCTGCATTATTCATCTCCATATTAAATAAACAAAATAAATTGAGGGAGCTGTTGTTTCCTGCAAGACTTCCTCAGATCCGGATTATCAGATAGCTTCTGAGAGTCAGCAAGAAGGAAACATTTAATCTCTCTGGGTGGGCAGGCGAATTCGATAATTTATATATACATTAGATATTCATGTGTATATATTATGCCCAAACATTTTGCGTTTTATTGCAATTGGCTGGCATTATATAAAAACAATAGTTCAGGATGCTGAAGTAAAATATGTATTACACATGTGTGTACAGAGCCCGCGATAGACGGTAGAAAATAGAAGGGTTGAAGTGAGTCCACAATTTTAAATTTTTAACTACTCTGTAGAAACAAATAAAATACAAACAAATCAAAACACTGTTCTGTTTTACCTTTCTGCTATCTTTTCTACCTTCCCTAAAATAGACAGGAGGAAAAGATGCTGGTATAGAATCCTGCAATATTTTCAGGCAAAGGTGGACGCGTTTTAGTGGTGAGTGAAATATACATCCACGGAAGCAAGCACACACATTCACACACATGCAAACCCCTGGGGTACTACAGGCTGCTTTCGAAACTTTTTTTCTTGCCCGAAGTCATAGTATGGTAGAATAGCATAGCTTTAGAAAGCCAGGAAGAATGATATTTCGGAGGGAAATGTTCTGACTTAGCTGTTTCCTTAAAGAGAACTACCTACCTCACATCCCTCCCCTTGAAGGGAGGAGGAATGTAAGAAATAAGGGCTAAAATTCCCCACCACTTATAATATCATCTCGTTCATTCTATCTGGATACCTGCTTTATTAGAAAGTTCTGTAATTGATTCCCTGAAACACAGAACTTAAAGCTAATAATGCAAAGGCATCCAACTGCCTCGAACCGTTCTGGGGCAAAGACAGTCTCAGCTCCGATTCACTCACAGGCTTTTTCTATCTTACATTATTCATTAATCAAGCTAGAAATCAAGCTTTCAACATCAGTCCATGGGAGTAATTACTTACAGTTGTGTGTTGTGTTTAATTTTAAGCGGTGATAAAAGTTAGCATGGCCACAATCCTAGAACCCACCTTTTATTTTCCCTGAATGTTAACTGGCTAAAGAATCCCAAAGTGGCGAACTTTACTGGTGAGAACCACCCCAGCTAAAGCAGAGGACAGCATCGATGACTTCAGAGGAAAGAAGCATTGCATAAAAAATATCTGCTTTATTAACATGTGGGCAAATAAATACCGTAAGAGGGGCCTCATTGTGTACGAAATGAATTATTCCCTTTCAGTCTGACAAGGGTTTCTACTTCTTCCAGTGAAAATAATATAAGCCATGAAAACAAACATATAAAGACACTAGGAAGACAATAGGCCAGAAAACTGAAAGTACAGCCACAACTTCCTAACGCACCCACACACACTACAGTAAATAGATGAGCCAGCGCCAATAGATACCAGCTTAATGAAAAGGATCTAATTTAAATAATGTGATACAGCATCGTGTTACACACACCTGGATCCTCATTGATCAGAGGATAATTATAATGAAAGTAGTACAATTCTGAGCGATGCACTTTTTGTAATGAGCTTACCAAAGGAGACATGTCCAGTCATTCTGGTAATTTAAATTACTGCCTAGTTGTTGATGGCCTTTACCGGAACAACAAGGGGAAAAAAAAGAGTAATTTTCAGGGCAGTATCACTTCTTGCTGGACTGTTGCCCAGGGTTCTCTTTTGGGACAACAATAAGGACGTTATCTCTAATAATCTAGCTACACTTAAACTTCTGTTGCCAGAACTAGATGGAAAAGGCTTACTCTTCTTGAGTCTAGAAGGCCAGTACACACCACAATGCTGTCAGATTGCAAAGCATTCGAAGTTTTAAAAAAATAAATGAGTTAAATGTAGAAAGGGACGGGGGTAGGAGGGAGACATTGTCTTCAAAAGAGGTAGCTAGAGTCGAAAAGAGAACACCTCACTGACTAGGCAAGTTCTAAATATATATGGTACTAAAAATATTGTAATTATTTTGCTCTTAGGGAAACAAATGGAAAATACACGAATCAAAGCTTTATAAATGACATTTCCGCATGCAATTTGAACCCATCTACACATAGTTACGGAAGCAGTTCTGCTCTCAGAAGGGAAGATAATTGTGGATATTTCAAAGCACATGTACTGCCATTCAGGCTGGAATCAGGCCACGATGGAGTATAAGCTTGGTGGTCCAGCGTGTTCAGACACAAACACCCACTTGGCTCAGATTTGTAACTAACTCTGGATTTGTTCTGTGGATGGCTTTGCAAAGTTATGAAAAGTGTTCCACCGAACTTCTCCCTAACGTCTGGCTCGAGTTGGAACAGGAGGAAATGTGGTGGTGGGTTTGCAGACCAGCTTTAACAGATGCTGTCTAAAGCATAAGGGTAAAGACAGAGAGAGGGAACAAAAAAGAAACTTAAGCTTTTTGCTAAAGCCCTGATTCAACCAAAGGACACAAAGAAATAAAAACGCCCACATTAAAAGCCAAACAAGATAATAATTGTGCATGTCTGGCTCTGAATCTAGAGGGCAAGGCTTGCGTCACTGGCACTCCGAGTTACCATGGTGAGTGATTTATTGATATATATCAAGAATGAATAGATCAAAGGCAGTGAGATGACAGGTGATCAATCAAATGTCAAATCAAAACTAGCAATCAAGTGGAAAGCTGATTTTTCAGTGGGTGGGTCTGGCAGGAGAAAAATGAACTTTCATATTACACTTCCGAGAAACAAAACCCCAGCATACTATTAAAAAAGCAATTAAGCAACCCAAAAGAAAAAAAAATCCTTTAGAAGGTCTATTGTACTGATCCATTAACCTGTTCCTCTTTTTTGGGAGGGGTGGTAAGCAAGGATTCAGATGGGATAGTGCCTACCATATGAATCAATTTCCAAAGTTTGCAACTCTCTCTGGGCAAAGAAAATCCAGAGCTGTTTCAATGTTCTGTGGGGCACTTTTTCCCCTTTTTTAAGAGAGGGGTGAGTGTTGATTAGATTTCCAAACGTGGATCCTTTTAGAAAACATATTCAAAGGTTCATTCCTTTGCTGGGGTGGTTTTTTCCACCTTGGCAATCAAACCTACCCTCCTATGGCTCGCCCCAAAGCCAGCCTGCAGCCCGGGGCTTAGGCAAGTCTCACCCTTCAGCGCCCCAAACCCCAGCGAGAGGAGACGCAGTCCCTTGAGGCCAGAAGCCACTGGCACTGACCACGCGGAGGGATGCGGGGGTGGAAGGACTCTCTCCCTATTCGGCACCCCGATCCGCAACCCAACTTTGGCCCAAGAGGCAAGAAGCAGACTGGGAGAAAGTTAGGGGTGGGGTAGACGGTGGAGGAAAAAAAGTTCAAGGAGAGAACGCTTGGTGGGATAGCTTTCCCCCTACCCAACAGGAGCCTGGAAAAGAGGAGGATTTGGGAGATCGGAGAAGGCGAGAGAGGATGGGGTTATCAGTGGGGCAGAGAGGGGCACCCGGAGCCAACTCCCCCGAAAGCTTGGCGGGGAGTGGCGTCCTGGGGCACCCGGAGGCAAGGAGCGCGGGCGAGGAGCTCGGCGCGCAGGGCAGCCCGGGCCGGGCAGCCTCGAATCGGAGACGTTTCTCTTACCTGCCGCCCGCTTGGGTGCCTGTTGTTTCCTCCTTGGCATCGCTCTACTTCGCTCCAGTCCCACTTCTGGCGCCCCAGCCCCGAGCAGCGCGCGGGGGCCCGCTGTCTCTCTCTCCTCTCTGGGTCTCCTCCGCCTCCTGCCCGGTGGCTCCTAGGGCGTCACTCGGCCTCTGTCCCCCTGACGATCCCCCCTGCAACTCCTCCACCACGGACCAGAGACCCCCCTCTCTGGGCGGCAGACACGGGTGGCTTGCGCCGGCTGGTTTGAAGTAGAGGTTGGTTCTGCCTTGTTTGTTTGTTTTGATTTTTTTTCCTCTCTCTCTCTCTTTTTGTTTTTGCTTTTTGGAAATTTTTTTTTGTTTTTTTTTTTTTTGGTGACTGTTGAGACACTTGATTTCTTTATTAAACATCCAAGACCGGGTTCGGATGGAAGGGACGAGGGGCGCACACGCGCCACACGCACACGCGCGCGTAAAGATAAGGAAAAAAAAGGCAATCCTGGGAAGGTAGTGGTTTCTTCTTCTTTCTCTTCTTCTTCCTTCTCTTTCCCTCCTCCTCCTCCTCCACCACCACCTCCTCCTCCTCCTCTTCCTCCTCCTCGCCGATCTCTATGGCGGATTCGTGCTGGGGGGAGAGAGAGATCACTCACTGTAGGTTTGTGGCTGCTGTCAGATCCCCGTCTGTGAGTGATATGCGAGAGGACAGGAGCGGGTTTGGGAAAGACAGAAAATCTGGAATTCACTCACACACACTCACACACACACAGACACACACAGACACACACACACACACACACGCACGCACTCTCGCTTCCTCTCACACACACTCACACCCCCCACATATGCACACACACACAAACACACACACACACACTCTCACACACACACAAGACAGGGCGAGGCGATGCCAGCAAACATCGATCCCGCTGAACAAACTGAACATTAACAAACTCCTCCTCCTCCTCCTCTCCCCGCGACCTGATGACAGGGAGAAATTTACTCCCCAGCCGCAGAGCGCCAGGCAGAGGGAGTCTATTAAAGGGACAGTGTCCCGCCAGGGAGAGGGGCTGGGGGCGGGGACCCGGGCGTGCCGCCGGGCTAGGGCTCCTCGGTGCGCCCTCTTCGCTGGTGCAAGAATTTGCCCACCAGGCGCGGGGACACCCCTCCAGGGAGGGGATGAGAAGGGAGGAGATGCGCGAGAAAAGGGGGCAGGGTGATGGCTTAACTCCGCCGCTGGGAAGGGAGACGCAGGGGGCCGGGTTAGCTGACCAGCGGGGACCTTTAACAACATTAGGAGGGTAAGAACTTGGGTTTGCTTTGGGCAGGAAAAGGGGAGGGCACCTTATCCAGTGATGACCTCCATCCTCCACTCCTCTGCGTCTCTTAGTCTGACCACAAAGATGTCCTCCACTCCCCTTAAGTTTAATGCCCCTACCCTGCCACGTTCTCGGTCATCTCCCATCTGCCTCCTGGATATTTTAATAGCATATTCTTCTCTTTGTTTTGTTCAAAGAGTATTTATTGAGCACCTACTATGTGCCTGTTCTGGAGACACAGCAGCTGTAGAGAAAGGAAAGATCCTGGTCCTCTTACTGTTTATATTCTAATGGGGGAGCACTCAAGTCACCCCCAGATATCCAGTCTTTGCTTAAATGTCACCTCCCCGAGGCCTCCTTTACGTACAATTTCACGCACACAGCCCCACTCCCTATCCCATTTCTCTATTTTATTTTTCTCCCCTGGGCTTACCAATGTCACACATCATATTATATACAGTTTTCCATTTTGTTTATTGGCCAAGTTCCCCCTCTAGAGTATAAGTTCTGTTGGGAGGAGGGATTTTTGCCTCTTGTTTACTATTATAGCCCAATGATGGCAAAGGACATGACGCATAGTAGGTGCCCAAGAAAATATTTTTTGAATGAATGAAAAGTAAGCAAACAGATAAACAAGATAATTTCAGAGTGATAAGCCCCATGAAGATGTTGCTGTTGGGTCCTGTGACAGCATCTGAAAGAGGCGGCAGCTCTGGGCTCAGGGCAGGAGACGTCCTTCCAGCTGAGGCGTGTTCAAGCCAACATGTGCTTATAGAGCCCTGCTGCAGGCCAGGCACCTTTTGAGGTGCTGCGGACGGGTCTGAGCCTGGACCTTGCTCTCAAGGAGCTCTCGTTCCAGTGGGAGAGACAAACATTTAAAGGGGCAAATGATGTGTGCTGGGGCAGGAGCTGTACTTAGCAGGGGCAGGTGACCTGGACCTGGAGGAAGGGAGGATGGTTATCAGGCAGGGCTTCATGAGGAGAGTCAGGTCAAAGCTGAGTGCTCAATAGGGAAGAGGAGTTGGGCAAAAAGGGAACTCGGATAGTGATGCCCTTATAAGAAAAAGACAGGCATTGTCTAGGTCTTTCCAACTCAGGGCTTCTACTTCCTGCACTGAAATCCGCTGAGGCCCTTGTTAAGATGCACCTTCCTAGGCCTTATTCTAGAAGATGTTCTAACCCTGGCACTATTGACATTTGGGCCATAATTCTTTGTTTTGGAGGCTGTTCTGTGCAACGTGGGATGTTTAGTAGCATCTCTGGTCTCTAATCACTAGATGCCAAACCCTTCCACCTAAGTTGTGTCAACCAAACTTGTCTCCAGACATTGCTCAATGTTCCCTGGGGGACAAAATACCCCTGGTTGAGCACCACTGTCCTAGACCTTCTAACAGAAACTTCTGGATGAGGGTTTTGGAATCTGCATTTTGAACAAGCAACCCCCCCGCCTCCACAGGTGAACCTTTTGCTTACTCCCCTTTGAGAAGCTCTGTTAAAAAAGCCTTTGTTCTTTGGGAATCAGACATACTCAACATTGCTACCTATACAGCTGAATCAGGCTTAGATAGCAATATAATTTAGGAGTTCAAGCGGTGACATTGTTACTGTGGTCATTGTGATGGGGTTTCACCTGGCCAGCTCCTCAGTCCCCACTCCCCACCGTGTACCCACCACAACGGAGGCCTGAACAGTGTCATCTGGGACGTGTCCCAGGTGCACCTCCCACTCATCGGCTGCCTTCGCCCTCCCTGGTGGAGCATTACCAAGGAGGACTAGTTCCACAAATATTTTTCTTAACAGTTCTTTGGGGCTATAGGAAACTTAACTTCCCCCATCCTGCTAGTCAGCCACAACATGTTATTGTCACTGTTTGCAAAGTGCTGTTTAATCTTTGTTGTTGTTGTTGAATCATTTTTAACATCCCCACCTGGAAGGCAAGTGCTCATTTCTCCTTCTCATGTGTGTCGTTAACTTACTTACCCTAAATCACCCATGCGGACTCCACCCATGACCAGCCCCATCCTATCCCAGCCTAATCCTTAGGCAACCGAGGCAGAGAAAACTCTATGGCGAAGTCAACAGAAGGGTATTAATTCTAATTAATTCTAATTACCCAATACACCTTTGTGGAGCATTGCGATAGGGACCATAGCGTATTGACTAAAACTCCATAGTCCTGTAGTCAAGGAACTACAGTTATAGGATCAAGAGGTACGGAATTAAGGCCTGAACAGAAAGAAGACTGAGGCTGCAGCAAGTGCGCCATGAATCCGCCATATTCTGTAGAAGCCCCACGCCTGTTGATTTGGTGTTTGTGATACATTCAATGATTTAACAAATATCAGCTGTGTCAGGTGCCAGGCATTGCCCCAAGCACAGGAGATGCTGGGATGCATAAGGTAGGATCCCCGCCTTCCAAAAACTTCTGTTAAAATGACTCCAAAAGACTGGGAACTGGGAAGGAGGGAATTTGGGAGCTGGACCCAGCCTTGGAGAGAATCCGGAGGGAAATATGCAGGAGTAGTTGACTCTGGGCTGCAGAATCTCTCCCAGCCTTGCTCCGGGAGTCTTTAAACTTTACTTTCACTCTCTTCTCTTTCTCAATAGCTGGTTATATAATGGGATGGGGAGGACTTAAAATACCTCTTAGGAAATCTACCTTTTAGCCAGCTACCAACAAATTCTTGGCCCCACACTTCTGGAGTCTTCTTTCATTAATTTGCGTTTTTTCCTTCTGCTGCTATTGTAGAGTATTTAGCTTGGTTATCAACAAAGAAGGTTTTGGTTACCCCAATGGGATGGGTAACACAACGGTACCCAGATGTTGTTTAGTGGTATAGACGCGACGTTGGAAAACGTTGAATCGCGTAGTGAAAAGGTTACTCCCTTCCCATTCTCTTTCAATCTGAGAAGTCTCAGTTTGGTGCTACCATGTCTTTTATGCCTAATACTTGCTAACTTGTATTTTTCAACCAAGAAACCGCAGATCACAGGCTCAGAAGCCTGGGAGGAGCAAGAGTACCTCACTAGACTTTTTAAAAATGGTTTGTTTTCATTGAACTCACTTTGAGGTTACCTTCTATCTTAGTGAATGATACTGCTCTCCATTTATGGTAGCAATCTAAAGTTTAATGTAATTTATGGCTTTTAAAAATAAATATCTTTAAGAAACGATAGAGAATAGATAATGGTTCATGGGGGATGTGGAGATGGCCAAATGTGAGAAAGGTGGTACAGGCCTGACTAGAATTTGCAAAATACTTTGCTAAACCACCAACTCTGGCACTTTTGGAAACTTCTTCCAAGAGTTGGTGGCTTGGAATAATGCTATGTTTGGGTCTCCAGGGAACTTAGCATCCTAGGATCCAACACTCAAACTTTGGGAAGTGTAAAAGCATGAGCTGATCTGAACGACTCAACTGTATCTTGAGAACGCTTATTCCCACACCGGCTCAACATCCGAGTCACCTGGGGATTTTTTTTTTAAGATAAAGAAGCACAGGCTCCACTCCAGCCTTACTAAATTAGACCCCAGGGTGGAGCCAGAAAATCTGAAATTTTAAAAGTTCCCAGTGATTCTGATAAGGTGCCAGGCATGGGAACCTTTCCTGTGCAAAAGTTGAATTTTGTAACAAGTGAATCAAGTTAGTAGAATTTGTCGCATGCAAGGAACAGCCAGGGCATCTATTCTTGGATTCACTCAAAAGCGTGACTGGGGAGCCTTTTCGTTGCACCCATAGAAGTCTGTGAATGCCGCGTTAAAACAGGTGTCTACCATATTGAATTTTTTTTGATTAGTTTGCCAGTGGACTCCAACTCAATGCAATTAAAATAAATATTTGCTGAGTGCCTCCCTAGCGTTGGGTGCTGCTAATTACTCAACATTGGGGCAGCCTGTGAGATTCTCGAGCATCTCCGTTACTGCAATGCCTCCCGTACAGGATTGAGGGCTTTTGCATTTTCTTTTCCCTCCAGCAAGATTCCTCCCCCAGATGTTTCTCCTCTTCACTCTAAACTCAGATGTCACCTCTTTTTTTCCCACCCTATCTGTCCCACTTTCTCTCACCTCTCGTGGAAGTTACAACCATCTGTAAGCATCTTCGTGTATTTGTCTGTTTACTATCTGTCTCCCCCGATTAAGATGTAAGTTCTATTTGCCTCTATATCCCTAAGTCCAGCACAATATTGGTGTCAGTAGAAGATTGTGCCTTGTGGCATAGTGGTTAAGTTTGGTGTGCTCTGCTTCATTGGCCCCAGGTTCACAGGTTTGGATTCTGGGTGTGGACCTACACTGCTCATCAGCCGTGCTGTGGCAGTGACCCACATATAAAGGACCTCCACATATAAAGTGGAGGATGATTGGCACAGATGTTAGCTCAGGGCAAATCTTCCTCAGCAAAACAAACGAATGAACTAAAACCATTGTAGACTGATTGAATACCAAGCTGAGCATCTTGCAAGGAAGGATTTACTTTAAAAATGTCTGAGGCCCACCATTGGGCTTTCATCAGATGTGGATACATAGCATTTCAAGCTGGGTGCCTCTTTTCCAATTGATACTGTCTTCCCCTCACCAATGTCCTTCCCTTTTCTCACTTTCCTCTTTTGTTTCTTGCCTCCTTCAGATCCTCCCTTAAATACTGCCTCTTTTAGGAAGCCTTCCTGGGTGGATCCCCTGTGATTCACACTTCTCTAGTCTGTACTTTCTCGAAACAAAGAGACTCAATATAGAGTATGATTCCACATATATGAGTGTATACCAGCAGGCAGAACTGATCTTGAATATAGGGTAGGAGTTACCTGTGAAAGTGGGCACAAGGAGGCTTCTCGGAGGCTGGTGTTGTTCTTAACCAGGGTGCTGGTTACATCAGTGTGTTCAATCTGTGAAAATAATGTCAGCTGCATGCTTACGATTTGTGCACTTCTATATATACACATGATGCTTCAATTACAAAAGCAGTGTTCTCTCTAGTGCTGTGTGTTATAATCAACTGGGGTGAACTGAAAAATCCCAGTGCCCGGGTCTTACCCCAGACCCATTACATCAGTCTGTGAGGGCGGCATCCAGGCATCAGTACTTTTTAAAGCCCCCAGATGATTCCAATATGCAGCCAAGTTTGAGCGCCAGTGTACCATACAATTCTGCCCTTGAGGATATAATTTATTGCCTTCTTCTTATGTCGTTTAACTCATTCAGGATATCCCTCTTCCCAGTAACTATTTTGTGGAAACTTCAAGGTGGCAATCTCTGGTTATTTTCTCCCCTCCCACAACACCTGTACAGCATCATGTTGGTGGGGAGAACCCGACAAGAGGAAATCCCAGATCGATCATGGAGAACGATAGGAAGAATAGAAGGCAGGATGTCGGGATAGAGAATAAGGGGTGGGGCCAGGGCCCCCTCTAGTCACGGGGGAGAGGGAAACCATTTTGAGAAGGTAACGTTTAAACTGAGATCTGGAAGACACAAATCACCCAACCGGGAGCCAAGGCCTGAAACTGGAAGAGACTTCTGTGCTTCTAGAACACAAAGGATGCAGTGGTCAGGGCCCAGGTCTAGAGAGCCAGAGAGGGAGAGAGGAGCAGAAATGACAAGGAGAGGTGAGTCGGGGCTAGATCTTGGAGACGTCATCAGTCATAATATTGAGTTTGAATTTTATTATCATAGCCATTGATAAATGCTAATTCATTTATCTACATCTTGAAACACCTCCTCCTCTAGAGTGGGCATGCTCCACCAACACGGAGGAGAAAATGTCCTGTTCTCCTCGGTGGGAATTTGTTCTCTGAAAACAGTTAAGGAGGATGACTGCAAAGTTTGGGGATGCTCGGCGTTGCCACGCTGGCTTCTCAGAATAAATCCTCCAAAAGTCATTAGGCTCTCCTTTGAAAAACTATTTTGATTTGGCTAGGTATAGAATTTTGCAACAGCAATTAAGCACTGTGTATATTTAAATGGGACGATTGCTGAGTGGGCAGGCTGGGGACACGGGAGCTGTTCAATTTCACATATATCACGTTTTCTCCCTTGGAGCTGGCTACTTGCGGTTGGTGACAGTGTTTTGCTGCTGCTGGAGAATCCAGACCAAGTCGCTGGCCCAGTAATCCATTGCTCAACTTCATTAACCGCAGGGAGACATTAAGTGAATGTAAGGACTGGAACAGCCTGGAAACCATGTGACGAGCAGCCTTTAAGTTCTGGGCTCTGGTATATTTTATGCCACCTCAACTGTGCGTCAAGCTCTCCTTCCTGGTCTCATTAGAACTGTGTGTCCAAAGGTGCCCCTCAACTTTCAGAAGCAAATAGAGAATGATATAATTCGCTCTGAGAACACCTTTCTGTCTTATCCGGAGCATGTCTTATCTATTATGATTAGGCATTAAGCGTCCTATTGTCCTTAAAATTTCATGATATTCTACCCCTGCTTGCTAGGATTATGTCCAAGTGACTTGTCCTGGTTGCTGTTTTCGCCCATCAATACAGCTTGCCTTTTCTCCTTAACCGTTGCTGGGAAGGCCAACGCAGCTAAGGAACCCACAGGCTTAAAATGGCCGAATAGTCCAGGACTGTTGCAAATCTTCTTTCTAGAAGTCTTGTGTGTCTTGCTTTTGGTTCCCCAAGATAAAGATTTGAGAGCAAGTAGTTTATTTGGGAAATGATCCTAGAAAATTCCAGCAGGGAAGTAGGAAAGTGAATTAGGGAAAGGAAGGCAGTTAATACAGGGTGTGTTGTCAAGCAGGTCATCACCATGGGTAACCAGAGCTTGATCCTGCTGGGGAACGCTGGGAGTCAATGTAGATTACCCACTTCTGGGATATCCCTCCTGAGGGGTGAGAGAGCCGGGGTATTTATGCATCGACCCCTGCCAGTCTTTGGATGGGGCCGCTCCTGGGCCTCCCTGTAGGCAAAAAGCCCAGGTACTGGCAGTTAAACCCGGGCATAAGGAAATGGGCAGAGCACCAGACCAGGTAGGCACCAGGGAGGAAATTTAAGTGTAGGTTTGGAATCGCAGACCTGCATTTAAAAAATACTTTCGCTACTTACTAAGACTATGACCTTGGGCAAGTTATTTAGCTTCTCTGAGCCTCAGTTTTCCTATCCTCTAAACGGGGATAATTATATCACTGATTCCACTAGGGGCACAGAGGGGATTGTATGAGCTAATGGAAAACACACAGCACAACACCCGTCATGTAGAAAGTACTCCTGCTTTTTTTAGCTTTTTCGTGATTTTAAAAGCATTTGTTGATTGACTATTGTTTATACAGTGCTTTCAGCTATATCTGAGGTCCAGTCTAATCCGTACTGAGGGATAAAACCAACATCAGCTCAATCCTCTCTACATTGGCAAGGGCATCAGTTTACAGAAGCCAATCAGGGAAGCTCAGATCCTCTTGCAGAAAATATGAAGGCAGCAGAGCACGAATCCTAGCCTTTGGCGGCAGAGCGCTCCTGCCAGCGCCCTCTTCTCTCCACAGGTGTATCCTCCTGCCTGCTGATGTTCAGTAAGCCCCTGCTCTACGCCGGGCCCGGGCCTGGGTGCTGGGATGCAGCAGGGAGTAAAGCATCTGCCTGGTTCTTAGGGAACTTAAAAGTCTGGGGAAAGACAGGCAAATTTTAGT